CAAAAATGCTTTATTTGAGCAATAATGTAGTAGCCAATAATGTTGTGTTTTTTCTGTTTATTAATCAATCATTGTCCAGTACTGCATACAGATGGCATGATGGCAGATATTTGTGCACCGGAAACAGTAGCCCAATTTTGATCATACTCCTAAACAATATTAATACTGGAAGAGCCAGTTTTAGCTTTGTGTTTAACAAAGGTGGAGTGTCATAACCTGTGGCAAATGAAATAGGTAGTTTAATTACAGAACAAATGTATACCTAAGCATTATTCAAAGATAGCTGTAGGCTAATGTATAAATAATTCCTTATTTGCCTTTGTTGCACTGGATTTTCAGCCCTTTAAAAACAAATGATTTTTGCGCTGGAAGCATTTAAAGGAAATTCTTGTGTTTACTTTGTATAATTATAGAAAGGCAGTGAAACCCATATATATATATATCTCAAAGAAAATATAGTCATTGATACGGAACAACATTTTAAAAGATAAAGAGGATAATTGTGAAATATATTTTATATGCTACAGTTGGCCTATTTAAATTTCAGTTTCCTCCTATGAGTCAGTGATATGGCACAACTATGCCCTGCTGTAATGCTTACTTTTTAAATTTGCATTTTTCTAATGATAGAAGTCACATATTTTTCCTCGTGTATTTGCAGTGTTTTTTTTCCTGTAGCAAATAGTTGTAAATGATAATTCAAGAAGTATTTGGCTTACCAAGAATTATGGCTATCTTTTAAAAAGTCCTGGCCATCTGTTTATCAAAACTGCTCTGTATTAAATTATACAGTGTTAGAAAAACAAACTGATGTGTGACTATTTAAGTCCTTAATTAGTCTGTTTCTTCACATGTCTGCATATTTTAGTGATTAAACTATTTCACCTCAGTCCAAATTTGTGTCACTTTCACTCTTAAGGTCTATTGCACAGGGAACAGAGCAGGAGAATAATAATATATTCATCTGATACCATGGATGCATTTGTGTAGAAATAATTTTCATGTCTGCTTAGTGTTTCCAGACCAACTAGACCAGACCAAACTGGTAACAATACAAATAACTACTAGACTGTAGTATATATCGTCTAGTATATTACCTTGAATTCCTGTCTCACGTATCTTAAACTGGACTTTGAGTGAAACCTGGAGTCATATAAATTGATTTCTTTCACAGTGGGTCTCCATTTCCCTTATTTCTGCATCCCTGTAGGTCTGCTTTTGAGACACGGTAGCACTTC